ATTATGTCAAATATAATAACATAAGTCGTAATATAATCATAGTTATACGAATATCCAGTTTTATGGATTTTAGTTTTTTGATACTTTCTATAGGGACACTATACAATAAAATGTTATATGCCATGTTTCGGAAGTGTTTCTACTAACCCAGTGCGTTTGTAACAATATATTTTACTGTCAAGTGAAAACCAGTTACATTCCATTAATAATAAAACAGCAGAGACACCCTGTATGATGTTTTTTGCGTACGTAAAAACTATTATTAGTACTAATATCAGCTATCACTTAAAATATTTAGAAGTACAAATATTTATTGTAGTAGTATTAAAGGCACATATATAGATATATTATATAATGATTTTTTTAGGAATTTTTATCAGGTCGTAAGAAAATTCGCGGAATAAGTATCAGCTTTTTACGAAAAATAATATAATTTTTTACTACAGGAATAACTTAAGATATAATTAAAGTTATATTTAATCATAAACACATTTTACAGCATTTTGTCTTTCTTTAGATTTTAGCATTTAAAGTTAAAAATTGAAGATGATATTGGATCATTTCCAATGGGATAAAATTAATAAACAACAAAAGTTCAAATGACACAAAAAACCTCTTTGGCACTAATTTGTGGTATAAAAATGCATTTGAACTATAAAAAAAATACTTCCTACAAAATCTTTAAGCTTAATCACGAGACCATAAAATACATTTAATTGCTTTAATATAAAAATTTGATAATCATTATTCTTCCTACATTTTTATTGTTGTAAATAATATTCGATGGTTAGTTATTTTAGAAGAGAGCAATAAACAATATGAATAAAAGGAGACTTTGAATTAAAAAGCTTTAGAATTTTTTTTCAAATCAATTTCTCGATTAACTTTAAACAATACACAACTACTATACTTATTTAAAAAAAATTGACAAATTTTATGTGCTAAATTTTACCTAAATATTTTTTTAATATAATACAAAACCTAGCTGAAAAGGGATTCACATGCAAGGATTTCGTTCAGATTACGTTGTAACATGCATATAAAAGATATCGCTATAGTATTATGATCGGCTAAAAGCAATTTACACTAAACCTAACGGATCCCTTTCTCAAATAAACTTTCTCTTGGAGCACGTTAGATATAACTATATACAATAATAGAGAGAATATATTGATCAGTTTTTAATTTTATACCAAAACTTCCTAAATATTAATTCAATCAGATATAGGTAGGTAGGTTATATACCGTATGGTTAATAAATAAATGGAGTGTTGAAGTAAAATTCTGCTTTTATAATATATAATGGTAAATATTTGACAAATTCTGAAAACCAAAGAAAAAGAATAATCTCCATCGTACAGAAATTATATGAACTTGATGTTATATTATTTGTAAAATAATAATAACAAGGGAAATATCAAACGATGAGCAATTAAAAAATAATTAAAACTTTTAAAAAGTATATTTATATAATGAAACTAAAAATAGATACAACATAAAAATATAATTTTAAAAACTCCATTAAATTATCAGCTTCCAGTTTTAAAAAAATGTAAAAGTAATCATTATTAGATTTTCACAGGTGATCAATTTACACAGAAGCATAGTAGAAATAAAATATTCTCAAAAATATTATTCCTACAGTATCGTAGCTCAAATCTAACCTGTCTTATTGTGTTAATAACTTTGAATTGCAAACGATGTTGATCCTGAACAATTGTTAGCCTTAATATTCTAAATTCCATAAGTACAATTAATGATAATGCATCAAGTGCACATTATTATAGTAATAAATATTTAATAAACGTACAAAAATATCTCTAGTATTCAAAAAGTTCTCCAGAGATGATTTGTTTAGAATGATTATTAAAGAAGAATCTTTCATCAATGTAAAAATGACAATTCACATTATGAATTCAAATAGCAAATGATATATTAGAATAAATTATTTGAATTCGTAATTACAATCTATACTAAGAAATTAAATTTTAGACTTGACAAAAAATTATCATATTATATCAAATTATAAAACCAAAATATTTAAAAAAAAATCCGGTGTTTTCAAAAGCATACCAAAACATTGCAGTATTTTTTTTTTAAATTTTTTTTTATAAAAGCATCTTATTTCTGGAATAATTATTATACAACCAAAAATATGTTTCAGTTGATAGTAAATTTTATTTCTGTTACGCTACCTCTTACATTATATTATACAAATTATTTAAAAACTAATAACTTTTTTTTTTTATTATTTTAAAACCCAACTTAAAAAAACGCTATTTATAACAAAAAAACATAAAACTTAAAGCTCACATTACACATATATATTTTTATGATTTTCTTTTTTTTAACATAGTCGACGATTAAAGAATATTACCCATGTATAAAGTCAATAGCTTTATGTTTTATACTACTATACTAAATACACATGAGTATATATAATAATGTTATTAGTTATGATTATAGTCGTCGAGCCAGTAAATATTTTATTAAGTGATGTTTATTATACTTTTATGTTCATAATTATAAAATTTTAGTTTTATGCCTACATTTTTATCACAATGCTTTCCATTTTACATATTAATACAATATTTTTCTTATTTTAATTTACTACAACAGTAAATTGAATTATAAAAAAACATGGTAGATATTATGTTAATCTCACACCGTAAAATATAAGTTCTATATTTATTAGATAAAAAAAAAATCAAATTTAATACATGAACGTTCAAATGTAAAAAGCTAAATAACATAAGGTTGTCATGTTAGACGCCGTTAGCTCTGATCCTACGGACGCTGAAGTATGATAAGTTGCCTGTCAACAAGGCGTAAAGAGTTATTTATCATGACGAATCAATACAAAAATAATAATAAAAATAGAAAAAGAAAAACTTTTTAATTAATTACTTTTTACATTAACTCGTAAAATTTAATGATTTACGCGATACACTTTTAAAATAACGTATAACACGAATATATAAACAAAAGTGTAAATATTTCACAATTATAACTGAATATGATATTATTTGGTGTTTACAGAAAATTAAACTAATTAGAATTTTTAATATCTATTTTTAAACTTTCATAAGCTATTAGAAATTTTCTATTGGATATGAAAATAAAAAAATAATATGTGTTACAATGATCTAAAAATATATAACAAACAATGTTTGTAGTTTGTTATTTACATAAAATTATGTATTTATCAATTCCGTAAAACAAATTTTTCTATGGCATTTAAATTACATTAAATATACCTATATTTAATTTACTATTCTTTAATGAATAATTAAAAATGTATTTATCTTTAAAATATATTGTAAATACCTATATTAAAACTTGTAATTATTTTACACATCAAATTACTTGTTTTTTTCAAAACTAACACCTTGTTCATCATATTTAATTGAAAGAAAGTTAATCAAAGTAATGTAAGTACATTTATGAAAATCCCATCGAATTAATTTTGTGAAAAAAATATATGATTATAGTGGAGGTTTTAATGCAATTGTAACGTCAGATATAATTCATAACTCAATAATTTTGATTCAATAATTTAATTTAAAATAACTTATTTTAATCGGACGAAATTTAACTGGTTCATTTCTTCTCGTATGAAAATTCTGATTATTGTAGCGAAATTTAGTCATTTCTTTAAAAAGTACTGTAGGTGACCAGTTTCCGAGGAGTTCAATGCAAGCATTATTATACACATACGCATATACATTGAGTGTATAATACTTGTATATGTAAAATAAATTATCATGTATGGGATCTCCTCGAATTTCGTCGCTGCCTACCTTGCACAAGCAAGAACGTATTTACCAAAATAAATTTCCGTTCCTGCGAAGTACCAATTCAGGGAGAAGAGTTCGCTTGATTTTACTCGTTCAATTCCAATTCTCAGAAAACATAATTTTAAATCGATAGATATTCTAGATTTTTTTCTAAATATAATCCAACCAGGTATAAAATTTGAATTTATTCGTAAGGAACCCGTATGATTTTATTTTACTTTTTATCGAAATAAATTAGTGCCTTCACAAAAAAAAAACCGATATATAAATACATTTCCAATGTATTTAAAAAAAAATTGCTAAAATACTGCTTACCTTTGAGTAAAACTCAATAAAAAAAAATAAAAATAAATTTAATAACGGTATAATTTTTTTTAATTAAAACACATCTCATGCAAGTCAAACGTTATATTTATGTAGTGTATGATGATCGATTATTAAAGAAACATACCTAACATTTAGTCATTGAATCATAGAATCCCTTTATTTGACGAGGGCTTACCACGTCAACTGTATCGTGGATTAAATAGAAAATAATGTGTAACCTGTACACTGTGATCATAAAATGTTATCAATATTTTCGTACAAGTTAATCAAATAAATTAATAGTTTAAGTCATTCGTGAACGTGCTCTTAAGTGAAAAAGCGAAATTGAATTTTATATAAGTACATAATTATGTACAATATTATAAAAGTTGAAAACTTAATAAACAGACCTGACGTTAGTACAAGAAATTCGTTTTATATATACTACTATATTTTTGGTATTAAGTGGTGTGATTCATATATTTACAACTCATGTTTAATCATTTTAAATGATAAGAATTAGAATAAATTAAATCAAATTTAACACTTTTTTAGTTGTTTATATAAATAAGCTCTTAACAGAGATAATCATATAGTAAACGGTATTATAATTGATTATAAATACTATTTCGTATAATACCGATTAAAAAACAATACATATTTCAAGTACTATTTATAATAATGTACTATACGAGATATATATATCGTATATGTGAAACAACATTTTCTAAAACGTATTTATAATCAAAAAAGACAATGAAAAAATAAATTTACAAATAAAAATTCAAATAATTGAAAAAGTTAGTTAACTGTTAATTGTTAAATAGCCTAAATTGCTTAGTTAAAAGTTTTTATTCAATCTTTAGAAAGATCAATGAGTGTTTGTATTTTCAACAGACAAATACACAGTGATCCGGAAGGGGTATCGACTAGAACCGACGATGAAGATGAACAGTTCTTTCATCGGTTCTGTTGGGATCAGAATCGAAAGTATGACCGAGAATTAATACCGAGGGTCAGACTAAAGGCACCTTATAGAACACCACCTCTGCTAACTATAAGGTAAAATAAATTATATATGTAATATCTAATTTGTAGCGGATGTAGGAAGTGATATAAACTTAGTTTTTGTAGTTTTTGGAAGAAAATTGATCCTGGTTATATGATTAATAAATTAACTACGGGCCCACGTTCAGGTAAAAGTAAATGCTATAATAAAGTCGTACAGTTTCAAGATTTTTCATAATAATGTTTATCGATTGAAGCCTTTTTTGTTACTCACCGTCACTAGTTATAAATTTATTATTATCAAAAGTTAATTGCTATTTTGTAATTAAAACTTTAGGCATATTATAAAATACAAGCAAGTAACCATTAAATAATTTAATTTGGATACTTTATATAGTGCGAAATCCAATAAATTACTAATGGAAATAACACAATAGTCATAAGTATATAATGAATATTAGAAATATAAAAAATATAAAAGAAGAAATGTTTAAAGAATTTATAAATATAATTGTTAAAATACTTAATATAATATTGGAAATTATAAAAAGTATTCTATTAAGTTTCATAAAAAGTACAATAAAATCTATGAGGATTTTATAAATTAAATTATAATGCAAAACTGTGTTAATAATGTATATATCTATTAACAACAAAAGAGTAAATTATATAATTCAACCAATACAATTCGTATAAATAATAATACATTGGGTCTTAACCCTATAATTTACAATAGACGTATAATGTACACGTATTAACATATGTAATTTAACAATACATTTCAATTATTATAAACGCAAACATATCTACATTAAGGTCAATAAACAATTGAAATTTTCTTTTAACAGAAATATCTTAAACACGATTTAAATAAATACAATATTCAAACAAAATGCTGTAAACGAATGTATTTTTAATAAACAATTAAAAAAAAAAAAATCATATTACGGTTAAAGATATTTTGATCCTTAGACGAACATCATAACTTATAAGCAATACAATAAACAATGCTTGAATATTCAATACACACACAATGATTATCATGATAGATAATAATATGTAAATTGCATACAACCAAATTTCGATTTGTAGGTATAATACATATTCAGTAAAAAAATAAACACATCTTATTGAAACACTTTATTATAATAAAATATAGTAACAATTTCTTTTGTTTCTTCTAAATATGTAGAGCTGTGTTATTTTTAGTGAATATAAATTATTATCCTTCTAATTTAACTCAGTTTTAGAATAACCTATTTCAAGTTGATACTATTTTAATTACGAAAAAAATTTACAACAAAATCTATCAGTAGAAATAAAGACTGAATATAAAAAAAAAAATCAGAAAACGATTCAAGATGTTGACAAGAAAACACTTAAGGTATTAATAACTCTAATGCTTGATTATATTCCATCACACGTTCATATATACAAGAAAAAAAACATTTTTTTAATAATATTTAAAATGTTTCAACTTCAACAGTCTTAAAATAAAAAAATTACATTTAGTAATTTAAGAATGATTATTACCTAGTTTGTGAATTTTATTATTTAACAGAACTAATAATATATCATATTAATTAATCAATAACATTAAATTAAAACATTTATTAATTTTAGTCGTATGCTGAAAGAACTGGAAAACGAAACTAAGAAGAAAAATATGGAAGCAATTTCAAGATCTAGGGCTAGATCCACACCGGCTTCACGACCAAAACTTAGACAATTCATACCAAATGAAGTAATATATACATACTTAACATAATAATTTATAGCTTTTTAAAAAAAGTTAGCAATTATTAAACTTAAAATTCAAGAGTATACGATTAACAAGTAATTTAATTGTCTATTATAGTTAGCAACACCCATGTATTATGTATAAATATCCAATTTTGAGGGCTCCATTTTTTATCTGTAAACATTTTAGTGACCTAATAGAACATTTTTATCTTGGATTTAATGGTAAATATTTTTAGCATTTCACAAATAATCCAGGAATCATTAATAAAATAAAACAGAAACTCACATAGAACAAAATTAATAAATAATGCAAACATTTTCACCATGAATACCACAAGAGACCGTTCCTTAAGTTATATTTCAGTTTTTACCCCTCAGGAACATGATAGAGAGTTTTCAAAGTTAAAATAACTAAAACTTAAACTACAGGAGACAATTTTTATTTTTCTTCACTAAGTTTGAAATATTTATAAATAAACAACGAAACAATGTATTTTTTATGGATCGATACTTTGAAAATTTGTTTTTAATATGCAGTGCAAAAAGTTAATTAAAAACAAATTAGTTTCAGACAAAATTTGTTTATTGATACCATTGGAATACAACATATTTTTCTATATAGATCAAAAAAAAATATATTAATCACATAAAAAAATATTTGTTCTAGAATTCTCCGACAACAAAACGCTTCAATCGTGTTGGTCAAGGCAACCGATGTACAAGCCGTTATGAAATATATAATTCAACGACGAAACCATTTGGAAAAAGTTACCGGGAGATGGTTACGTCATCTGACAAAAAAACGAATCAGGAATTAACGGATACCAGCGAAAGCAGCACAGAGTCAAATCTAAGTGCTTATAATACTTGTTGTTCGGAAGTTGAAACATTGCAAATAACTGGCTTTCAATGTGTAGATGAAAATGCTACTAAACATGAAGTTACCCTACAGACTACGGTAAGCGAAGATATAACAGAAGCCAGGAATTACAACGTGAACATTAATGATCATGCTAGGGTGATTGAAGAAAAATTCAAATCAACGGAAATGGTAAAAAGAATAGACGAAAAACGTCTTATGTACAATATGCCAACAACTTCTACTTGGAAAACATATCAGGAAGAACAGCTAACATATGAGCCAGAAAATCAACAAGTCCACAAAGAAGTTGTAACCAGATCCAGAAGCTTGTTCAGTTTACAAGATGAACCGGCTGAGATAACATCAAATAAAGCACAAAAATTAGTAAAAGCCACTTCAGAAAACCATTTATTTGAAAATAACATAGAACAAAAACCAAGGGTCGTCCAAACAACACCTACGAAAAAATATAGCAGTGCTATAAATCTAACCCTAGGTACCAATAAATCAAACAATAATATTAAATATAAATCCCAATCTGATTTGTGTGCAAGCGTTGAAGAACCAAAAACACTCGAAAGACCTAAATCGATGGATTTCCTTGTCCCTAAAGAAAATAAATCACACGCAGAAACATTAAAAAAACATTTTTATTACAATCCTCTTAAACAAAAGAAAAAATTGAACGACAACGAGCTGCCGGACCCAGACAAAGTCTTGAGTACCAGACAATTATTCCAAAAAGAACTAAAAATTCCATTGCCACCAAGTATGAACAACCAAAATCCAAAAACAGGACCAAGACCAACACAAGAAATACGAGTGATACCCGAAACGTACAAGCCGAAACTGAAGAAATGCGTGTCCGTCGATATGGGAACAAACATACATAACAGGTGGACGGATAGTGGTAGTATATCGTCTGGTGTCGGCAGCGAAGCGAGCTTCGACACAGAATCATCTGGGACAAATCATAGGGCCGACGGGTACAGTAGCGACGACGAAGATTACTTAACGGACAAAACGACTGTTGAAATCGTCGGTAGACCGGTATCAGCGGAAATATTGAACAAGATAAGGAAATTCGGCACAAGCGTCACTTATTACGGCGGTAAAGTGATATCGAGCAGCAGGGGAGTGGTGTGTAGTCCCATGACTATGACTATTATGGACGAAATCAGACATCAAAAAGAAGAAAACGTCAAACTTCGGTTGGTGAAAAGCAATAGCTGCGGCAGCAGGATTGAACTGATGGAGGAACCGAAAAGATGTGATAAACAAGTGGACGCTATACAAGAAGAAGATGAGGACGAGGAACGTCGAGACGCGTCAAGTCCAAGAACAGTAGATGATAATTCGTCGAAGGTTTCTAATGCGTCTTCCGACGAAATGTCGTGGAAAGCTTTAATAGTCATCAGAAAAAAGATGAGCAATGCGCCAATATTTGATATGGAATTTGAAGAATTCGAAGTACTAGAAGAAAAACATAATTAAATATTCGTCTTATTAAATATGTTTTAACTAATTTAAATAAAATAGGGACGATAAATGTTTTTAATACTTTTTACTTCTATTGATATTTGTATAAGTGAAAGTAAAATAAATGTTTGTTGCCAGTATTAATTAAGTATGGTTTTACTGAACACATAATAGAAACATAATATAAAATGTTTAAATTTTTATAATCACTGCGTATGTCTGAATTTAAAATAATTTTACACAGCACATTATGATAAATGAATGATTAAAATACGTTGTTGTTTTTTATGTGTTATTCTTATCATTTAATATTCCCTTAACATTTTTCTTAAATAGGAAACAAATTTTAATCCGATTAGACAACAACATATTTATTACTATACTACCAAAGTAAGAGAAAATAAATTGTATTATCCATTAACACAAATATATCTACTTTTATAGTTGAAATAGGCGTAATAAATTAATAATTTTAGAATTTACTTATGAATAGATAATTTAGATTTACCAAAAAATAAAGATACCTATTGTATATAAAAAAAAAATAAAGAATACTATATATTGATAAATGGTTTGATAAAAGGACTTTAATTATCAAGGTTGAAATTAATACCACAATTTTAATTTAACAAAAAATAATAATTATATTAATAAAAATCGAAAAGCAAAAAATATTTATCAAATATGTCCTCATGTACTCGTACCTACTTATTTAATAACGGTAATATAACAAAAATATGATTAAACTGGATAGAAATCATTTAAATATAAACTCTTCAAAAACATCACAAGAGCTACCCCAAAAAACCTCGTTTTTCCATATGAAGATGACAGGATTACTGTTCAATTAATATAACATTTTTTTATTTATATAAATAAAAAAAAAACATTTCATTATTGTATTTCATGTTTTTGGTGATAAAATTATCTAATTTAAACGCTATGACACTTTCCTAATAGCACCTATAACTATTAATTATAGAAATTATTAATATTAAATCATTCCAAATAAAGTATTCCAATATTAGACAGATCAAAGCACAGTATAAAGTATTTAGACAATAAATAACCGTAAAATATGAAATAGATCTAATTAAAAATGTTTTTAGAGCTTTTAAACAAATTTGGTTAATAAGAGTAGAAAATTGAAGGTAAAAGGTTTAATTTCAATTTTATTTTTTATATTTAAAAGATATTGAGCTTTAGTTTCTTTAAAATAAACCATTTAAAAATGCTATTAAAATATAATGATTATACATTCATCGAAAGATTTTTGAATTTTTTTTATATTTTTCTCGATTTTTAACTTAAAAAAATGTATTTTTACATATCAAATTTTCAGTTATATCATATGTTATAATTTAATTTTTCTTAATAATATTATACTATCAAAAAGATTTCTTGTTTTCATAACGATAATCTAAAATTCTATGTGATAAAATAAATATTTCGAAATGAATTACAAATTATACATTAACGACAAAGTAAATAAATCTCCATTTTCCAAATTATCATCCGCTTAAAAAGGTCAAAACTACGGTTAATTTCTCCACGTGGTAAAATTTCAACATATCCATATAGTTACACCTATTACTGTGAAGGTAGTATTTGTATACGCAAATACTTTATCGGCACTTTTACTTAATAGCACACTTTGTATTTATGCTTACTAAATTTAACATTATGTTAATGCTTAAACAGATAAAAGGACACATTTAATTTCTATACTTCTATAAATAGCCTTTAAAATCATAAAAGTTACTTGATACTTCAATTCCTAGATTGATTACAGTAATTTCAATAGCACACTTATTTTGATTATTTCAAAATAAGTAATCGATAATATAAAACATTGAAATAAAAAGCCAAAAATATATGTATGATATTTAGATAGGATACTAGGAAAGAATATTGTTCAAAGGTGAGGTAATTTATTTTACATCGATAAAAAAACAGTTTTAAAAAAAAACAACATTATTAAATTGTTAAATAATACATTTATTTTTAAATGAAGCAATATAAACCAAAACATTTCAAATAATTTCATTATAAAATAATATAAGAAAACAACTAAGAAAAGAAGCAGATAATTATGAATTAAAATAAAATCATTTTAGTAATATATAGTATTAGATAAATTCGGCTATACATTGTAACATGTCATATTTATGTAAACTAAAACTTAAATACTAGATACAGGAAAGATTAAAATGTTATTACTTTCAAACGACATTTTATACGTTTTATAACAATACATACAGATAACATATAGATGTTTACGCGAACTTTATCGTTTAACGAGTACCTATATTCATTCATCAGATACCAACATATTATACATATTCTACCCCAACACGTATTAACTCGTATAATTAAAATATGCAATTTATAATTGGTGATATAATACAGTTCAACAGTAACTGTGGGAATCATTATTATTATTAGTATTGACCCACATATTATACGACTACACTCTAACCGGAAACAACAAATGACTGAAAACTAACATGACCCCTCAAAGATATCATAAATTTGGTTGAAAGCTTACTTGGACAAAAATAACATTGTATTGATTTGATTTTTTAAACGCAAACTTTTGCTTTAAAGAATATAATAAAACCCTAATGGAAAGTTACTGTTACGACTCACGGGTCTTATTAATATAAGAATTCACTATGAATAGTTATAAGTACGAACCAAGCATCTAGTATATACATATTTATAAACGAATGCAACGTTAATCTAACTTTGCAATTAAATGCTTTAAAAAGGTTCCGAGAACATAATAGGAAAAGGTAATTTTTACGACTATGGGACATAACTATTCCACTCTTCTCATCAGTTGAATGTAAAAAGGTAATAAAAGTTTTGCGAATAGTTTGCGTTATCTGTATTATTATTCAACAATGTAAATTCATTTCTGGTGATTGTTCGTTTGTTGATGTATTTCCATTTCCAATATCAAATCAACACCAAAAGTTTTATTATTAATTTAATTTCAAATTTTTTAATATATATATATATATTCCAATAATAAAAACCGATCACGCGCAAATTAAATATTTGTATATGGATTACATATAAATACGAATAATATAACAAATCAAGTCCGTACAAAATGAATCCACCAAGTTAAAAAAACAAGCAATATAAAAAACTAAGTTATCAATCGCATGCAATTTACGTCAAGTTGATTAATCAAAGTACCTATGAATACATTTTTAGAAGTGCACTTTAAATTAACTTCGATCGTGAATACTCCAATTTACAATTTAAACACAAATATAAATACGATTTCAATTACTACGAAAATATAGTTTCCTTTTATATTTTCTAACATTTTTAATTTCCTAAACAAAATACTTCGTTTTATTAATCGTTTAACATAATAATACTTAGTTATCATATATATATATATATATTAATATGTGTCTCATATAACTAAATTCAAATAACAAATAAATTCATATTATAGTAGCTTTTTGCACGCACTAAAAATTCAAAAGTTTTTAAATTTAATTTTGTTCATATTGAAAAATATTTAGATCCAATATAGCTCAATAAATTAAGTCAAGTTTTCAAGTAGATAGTGTGTTATATTTCACGATATAAACTTTATTTTTAAAATTACATTTATTTTTCAGATATCTTACTTGCAGAAGTTTAAATGCTTACAATATAACTATTTAAAACAAATTACACGAATAAATAAAAAATTGAAAGTACATTGAAGACAAAGAAAAATAAAAAAACAACGACTAGAGTTAGAACACTAATCCGACTTCATTCAGCATATCAAAAATATTATTTAAGTTTATGTACAACATTATAGCTATATTATTTTAAACTGAAAATAAAAAACCAACCAATTTTAATCGATTCTGAACTTAATTAATTTTTAATTATAAGTCTTAAAACAATCAAAATTAAAAATTCTCTTTAAAAATAAACATACTACATTACAAACTCTATGTATGTTTTACAAATATATTGATTATATTAAATACTTATAAAAAATATTCAGAAAATATCCTAGTACAATTTTTTACTTCCAACTATTATGTGTATTCATTTCATCCTACACTTAAAATACAAATCTTTAAAACTTAGTTTATTTTATAAAAATTAAAAAATTTTAACGATAATTTTAAATCTACATATTTTTTAAATAAGTAGACAGACAATTAGCAAGCTAAACTAGAAGTTTTTATAGCTATTATTTTTAAGACGGTAACAAAATGTCAATTTACTATTTAAAGTAAGTTTAATTTTTTCCGAGAAAATATAATTTATTCGTTTTTGTATATTTCTTTTATTCATAAAATGTATACCTGAATTTATAATGAAAAACTTAAAACGCCAACATCTCAAATATCTAGACAAATAATTTACAACTGTGATAATATAAAAATTTATGAACACTTGAATGATATTGCTAGTTTAATATTAAAATACGTCCATTTTGAAAAAGTTTTTTTAAAATCATCATATTTAACTTGATTTTGTTTAAAATGTATACATATAAATCAAATATTTCAAATGAAATAATAATGTTTAACTTATATAAAAGGTTCAATACCTGAAGATAAGTTAAAACTAGTTTCATATTTCACACACGATTAAATAATCTTAAAAATCTAAAATTAAAAAACTAATACATTCATAAATCAATTTATAATAGACTCAAGAGTTAGACTTTGATATATTTTCAGTATTCCTAACCTAACATTAATATATATACAAAAATTTAAATGCATTGGAAATTAATTTGTTTCAAAACATTATTTATTTGTATAGGAAAATAAAATTTAAATAAATTATTATATTATTATATACCTAATTAGTATAATATATAATTATAATTCGTAATAAAAATATGTAATATTTAGACAGTTAATATATTTTATACAGCGTGAATATTTATAGTGAATGCAGATATTTCATGTCAGAAAATAAAATTATAATGGAGTATTGTAATGATTATTATACGAATTAAAATAATGAATAAACATAACCTAAATCACAGATCATGATTATTGAATTAACTGAATTGTTTGTTTTTATTTAGTTTCAAAAATGAATTTATCGATCATGTTTCAGCTAAATAATTGTAGGCACATTGCAAAGGCTAAATCATTATTGTACAAACATTATGGATGAAATTAATTAAACTAAGACTCAAGCTTTTAAAAAAGTATTTAAGAAAATCATAATTGTTATTTATTTCCTATCAAGGACGGACAAGATTTAATTAGGACCATTTTAAACCGAACCACCTGCATGGATCGAACACTATCATATACAAAGATATTATTTTCATAAACAATAATACTACTTTTTTTTATATTTTAGTTTTTACATGACATTTAGATGTGTAAATCAACACGTACTTTAATACTAAATTGTGTTGTATGGAAATACAGAAAGGATTTTGAAACATAAAATATATGTTTAAAACGTAATAAATATTGTTTTTTTCAGTAACCAGTTTTACCTGATTCATCGTACGAAGATTTAATTATTGTTTGTTTCTGTTCACTACCATCAGCCGTAAACGTAGACATTGAGCTAGACCATCTTTTGGAATGATGACGGCGACATCGCTGAGTTACCTAAAACATTTTCAATTAGTGTTTGGTTAATTTAAGACTAAATATTTATAAGATTTTAATTTTTTGATAATTAATAATAGTTTAATTCTGAGATATAACTAAATTATAAGCATAACATCATGCCTATACATCAAACGAGTAACCTACATGATTATAAATAATTTTAACGTCTACATGAAAAATTAAACGTTATAAATAAAACGAGAAGTTTTAATGAAAAAATTTTATTTTTAATTTTCATATAATTAAACAGTTCTTTTTACAAACGTAATAATATTATACTAATAATTATACACTTAATAATACATAATATCAAATTCATAACTTAATAATTAAATACTTATAAGAATTAGTTATAAGAGAGGTAAAACTAATAATAATTGAATTAAACATTTTTTTGAATTAATTTAATAGTTTTTTTTTTTAATTTAATTTATTTAACAACACACATATCAATATTCAACTTTAGATTTAAAGTATGAATTTATTTATTTTTATCATAATATATTGTTCACTTACCTATAAGTAGTTAATTTAATTTAGTCATTGAAAAATGTTTATTTTATAATTTGATAATTACATTCATTTTACACCACTGATTTTAAATAAAATATTAGTTTTTGTAAAATTTTTATATATTATTAAATTTTAAGCCAAATGTCATCAATTTTTTTAGTTATAATTATAAATTCTAATGTTTATAACAACAATTAATGTTCTGTATACTTCCTTGATAAAAATGTAAAATTGTATTTATGAATCCTCTCAAATAATTTTGAACATTCTTGTATTAACAAATAATAGATAGAATTTGCCAATTAAACCGTAATAAATAATTGATAATTCAATATGATAGTTTTATAAGTATATATTTTTTTCATATTAAAAAAACTATATAAACTATTACAAATTATCATCTAAAATTTAAGCCACACCAAGTACTCTATGTTGATTGGAAAATTAAAGTTATATATAATTTTTATGTAAATTTTGATCAAGTTTGCGTTAAATTATATCAATGTATTTCTGATGAAAATATTTAAAACTGAATTATTAGTTAAACTCCAAAAATATTTCAATTTTCTCAACAACATCATGGCGCAACATAAACTTGATTATTTAACGATAAGTTTTTAACTAAACATCTAAATTGATTTTTTTTTTTTTACTTAGTAAAGATACATGCATTTTAATGTTTTAATTTAATTTGTTTTTAGATAAATCTGTCCTCTAAATATTTGAGTACCTAATAAAAATTACTTTCATCAGTAGATACTTTTTAATTAATTACAATTTTTTTTATTATTTCACTTGAATTTTATTCTAAATTATTATGAAAAACGATTGATTGAAAAGCATTGAATCAAACTAAATATAAATAAACTAATATATCGTAGTTAAAAATATAGGTTTAGTATTAAAAAAATCTCCATAATTTCAAAAAAACAAAATATTACATAAACAAATTTATTTAGTAGGATGATCATGTTTTAGTCGCGTTTAAACTTAATTATGATTTTTTATTTTATAATACAAATATATATAAATGAAATATTTAACAAAATCTACATTTTAACCCAATTAACTGAACATAATGTTCTTTTTTTAAAAAAAAAAAAAATGTTAATAGTTTTGCACAGTTTCTACCTTAATCTGGGCAGACAAACATTTTATTTATATTTAGAATAGTTATTCACACATGGAAAAACGATATTCACTTTTGGCTAGAAAACCAAAACTGTCTATAAAGCTATACACTTAATAATGATATATTATACGTTTACTCAAGCTTACAGAGATCGATGTAGGAATCATCAATCCTAATTATAATAGAAAATATTTTCCATCACAGCTTTAATAACACATTATAACATTGTAAGAAATATATATTTATAAATACTCGTATGTATATTAAAAACGTTAATGCAATATATATGAATTATAAGATCGTAAGTAAGAGTTATTTATGAAAAGGGGGTTTGATATATTTAGGTAATATTTATTTTTATTATTATCTATTTATTTATTAACTAGTACTTTGCCAATGAGAGGGTTTGAACTCTCAAAACCCCATCGTTACCTACTTCACTGATGCATTACATTATATTAAAATTTTAACATTCCACAACATAATGTTTTTGTTGATATATTAGTACATTATATGTATAAATAGCATGACAACAATAATTATTTAGCGTTTATTGATTTATATGAATATGTAGAATCTATTATAAATAAATATTTAAGTATAATTAAAATAATAAAAATAAAATTTGAAAAAAGCACATTGAAATAGTCACAATTTGTAGTTTTTGGAAAATTACCAAAAACTTTAACGTCAAATTAAACGACACCAACATTCTTAAAGACAAAGACTACGATAAATACTAATGAACAATCTAGTTTAGGAAGTCAAGTTATAATTATTATTATTTAAGCAAAGCCCTATACCAGTCATAAAAACGGTAAAATTATAATGAAATTATTTTACAGTATATACTCGTATATATATTCTCCCGATTCACAAATGAAAAATCATTTAAATTTTTATTAATTGATTGGTTATACATTTGTAACATATTTAACAATCCCTTTTACATTTAAATTAATGTTTCAAAAATATTAAAACAAATCAAGAAAATAAACTTTTGAATTTATTGAATAAAAAGGAATATACACAGACGTTATATTTATAATAAACGTATGGGCATTGGAAACTTTTTAATTAATCAGTAAAAATGATACAAACATATTGTAATTTAAGTGTACAAATATACTTCAACTACTTCCAATAAGTTCTCCACGATGTTTACATATGTATTCTCAAAGTTGAAATTCCATTTAAATTCATTTCAATAGGAGTATTGTGGAAAGGGAGTTTAACGGGAAATAACATAAGACATTTTACAAAAAAAATTCAAACGAAATAAGGGTTTTTTTCTAATGAATATGTAATATTATTATAAAAATGCTATATAAATTCACAGTGTAAAATATTAAGGATGAAGGCTAAATTTTAAGACCAACAGTTTTATGTTAAGAATTTAATAGTTTAAACACAGTGTATAGGCGCAATGAGGGGGACGGAATAGAATTTTTAGCACCCTCGAGTTTAAATATAGTAAATATAGCACTCTTTTTTTTTCAAATTTATATAATCTATAGTAATTACAGTGAAATACCATTCAATTTTATTTTCAAAAATGTCAGCACCCCAATATTTGGGCTCTAATTGTGCCCATGACACAGTGGTGAATTTAAAAATCCCTAATTTAATTCACGGTACGTGACAATGAGACCTCTTAAGCTTGTATTGATTAATATTTAATTTCCTTAAAAATAAGTAAATGTATAGAACTTCGATTCAATATTCGCTGTACCTAGTAGTTTAATTTATAACTTTTTTCTATAAATCAATCGATAAATTAATTATATTATTAAAAGTTAAATAACTTTAACTTTAACGTTATTGTCAACAGAAACGGTGAAAATGTACTAAGATGACTGCCGCCGACTGGTTATCGTGTACAAGAGGGGAAACCATGTATAATATAGTAGCTTAGTGGCATGTTCTGTAACTATTTCAGTAATTGTTTTATTGATTAATAAATAAATGGGATCAAAGCTCCACAATAGCTGCAAGGCTTATCACTAAGGACCGGATATATATGCACAAATAATCCTGAAAATATGCTTCTAAAAATGCTGTAATATGCTATAAAATGTGTATTTATTTTTAAATATGTACTTAAATATTCACTTAAAATGTTGTTTAAAATTATGTACAAATATGTGAAATGTATTATAAATATAAAAATAATCATTAATTAATACGGTATTAAAAAAAGTATAAAAAAGCTTTTAAAATATTTTGTCGTCTTTGTCGCCATTTAACATTCTTTATCTTCAATCTATAAAGTAAAAATACTCACATAAATAAAAAGTGAAAACAAAAATTGAATTCATATTTTACCTTATTGCATTGGATGATATGAGTATGTAATCTTATCTTTGGAAATAAACACGGGTCGCAATTTTATCGATATTATATGGCAATGATCGTGAAAATACGACGAAAACGAATATATGTGCTATAAATAATAATTTGTATTATAAAACTATAAATATGCATTGAATATGCATTTAATAGGTAAAAACGTTGAAATATGCAAAATATGCAAAATAAAATTACTTTTATTTTAATAAGAAAAATCTAAATCGGGGACAATGCTCATCAGATTTTAAAAAGCTTATTCCAATACATAAATGCATTTGCATATAAATCTGGTCCCTACTTATCACAAAATAACGTTATTAGAATTAAAACATTTCTGAATTTCTCTACTTTGGAGTAGGTATACAATAGCAAAATTAGTTAAATACAAACAATGTAATTATTTTAGTTTTCAGGAGAAAAAAAATTAATAGTCGTATATTAATAATTAATAATTAATTCAATCAAAAGAACCGTGATAACCATTCGTTCGAAACAATCTTCGTACTAACAAAAATTAAATATTACACATTTTCATACGCAATAACATCAATTGCTCCACGACGCAGTATTTTATAAACCGCTGTGACGCGCACATTTCGTTCGCAATTTCTTAACATTATTGAACGTTCGTGTTCCATGCAAATGTTCGGCTCGCATACATTATACGACCTACGTAACATCAATTAATGTAAACACACGTTGTGATCAAGGGAGATGTAACGAGTTCGTTTTATTGATAATACAGTACAGGATTGCAATTATCGTACATCGATGAAATTGGGAAATATTATTCACATGGAGAACGCAAAGGTATAACAACTAATAAATAATAAACAACCACAACGCATTAAATAATACAAAATATTTATATATATATATATACAGGTACTTTGGCCATATACTTGACCTCGGCGGCTCCGACATGCCACACCAATGATATCACGTATTCCCAACTTAGTCACTGAAAGCCTCAAACCAGTTGTCAGTCATGTGACACGCATGATGTGGATACTGATAATTGTAGCGATTTCATTTTTTTTTTATGTATTTTGACCACTAATGCAAAAGTAATAGGATTTAAAACATTACATTATTATGCATAGTGTATAATATTATAAAATTAAAATAAATCGCATAAAAAACCAATGTGTTTTTTAAGATAAGAAAATAAATGAATTCGTTCACATCGATTCATTTATATTCAATATAAATTGAAAAGCATTATTTCAATTTGAAATTTTTTTAACCTCAAAATGTCAGCATAGTTAGCAAAATTAAAAATGTCTAATGTATATACTATAATCATAACGTTTTTATACTTAACCGTAGAACGAAATAAATCTAAATAAAAAAATAATAATAATAAATAATAAATAAATAAATAAAAATAAATAATAATAGATAATAAATAATCTAGATTTTAACTTTTATATCTTATAACAAATAAATGTTTTTATATAGCAATGTAATGCGTTATGTTGTATATTCAATAATTTTATACTTTTTTTACTCGACAATGTAATGATAATACACCATTAATAAAAAATTTGAATCTGGAATCATCTTAATAATCACAAATTAATTTAAAATATTGAATTAGTGACCTATATAGAGGTTAATCCAACTAGGACAACTCGATAATCCTATATATTATTATTTGTTCGATTTTAGGATTAATCCATATATTTTTTTTTTAGTGAATTTATTGCCCAAAGAAATGCACTTTAAGTCTTAAAGTTCAAAAGGGTTTTAAACGAGACGTATGCCCATTTGAAAACGAAGAGAAGAATAAAGAAGAAATAATATTTAAAAAAAAATTTAAAATGGTCATCAAAACAAAGAATTTATTACTGGAAATTGGATATTTGTCAAGAACAAGAAACTGCATTCTATACACTACTTGGCATCAGAAAAGTTCTTAAAATACATTTATTTAAAAATTATTTTAAATTTAGTAATTCTAACCTATGATGTTAGAAATAAAATTACTAATTTTTCTATTACAATCAACAACAAATTATCTAAAATAATATTGTAAAAAAAAACTGAATACAAATCATGGAATTACTGATTGATTATTAAGATGTGTGATTTTAATATTTATTTAATATATAATACATAAATACATTTTATACAATTAAATCATTGATTCATATTTTTTATACTTTTAAATTATAATTTTAACTAAAACACACATATTTATGATATAAATGTAATGTTTCAATGTAATTTTATAATTTAATTAAAATATTGAGCAAAGTGTGATTTCAATAAAGACTGTAAAACTTTACGTAATTAAATTATTTAAAAATATTCAACAAAAATAAGAACGTTTCGCAGTCGGTAGGATTCGAACCTACGCTCCCAGAGGGAATCTGATTTCTAGTCAGACGCCTTAACCGCTCGGCCACGACTGCTTACATTTAAGAAAAAATAAGTAAATTTATTTAATAATTATTAACACATAGGTTAACGAAAATATTCCACAACTTTGTGAATATGGGTAAGTTCTAACCATCAAACACATAGGTAGTCGAAATATGCTCTCTATCAAAATATGAAGAAACAACAAAAGAGAGAGCTCAACAACGGTAATAATGAGGTATAAGAATGGTTACGTAGCATATAAGTGCGCCTTTAGATTTGTAAATGAACTCTGTATATTTTATTGTTATTATTTTTATTACTCTAAAAAATATTTCTTACCACAATAATTTATATACCTACTAATTTATTTATATATTTATTTTATAGATTATTGTTTATTGTATAATTCATACATGTTTATTTCAGTTTTTAGTAGGTAATTATAATATGATTACCATGTTAAGTATTTCTTATTTAGTTAATATTTTCAACGTTTATGTATGTTTTCACTAAAATACATTTCATATGTCATATGAAATAAAAAAAAAAAAAGATAGATCTCTACACAGACAGAACAACAAACAAACAAACCATGACATCAACGAATTGAATAAATTGGTAATTTAAAATTATATATTCATATTCATTATTTGGATTTTAATCGATTAAAAATAATATTTTAATATTAAAATAATATCTAGTTGTTTTAGTCGTAATTTGATATTACATTACGAGTACACCCATTTAAAAAAAAAACTCTAGTTAAATGATCCAAAACTTGACAACTTTAAAATCATTATTCTTTATTATTAATCGGTAAAAATTTTGTGAATTGATTAGTAAAAAAAAATAAATAAATACATTTAGTTTAATCTCTTTTGAAGAAAATGCATATTATCTGTTTGTAGTCATTGTTTATCTAGGTATTATATTATTAACGATAAGGCAATGCATAAACGATAAGAGAAATATTTAATTATTTCTGTGTTTGTATTTAATTGAATGTAAATTCCGACATAGTTAATTGAGTAATTATTAACTTCATACAATATTATTATATTTTGCAAGATATTATTAAGTATTAATAATGTTCTAGAATGGAGTTACAAGTGTTATTTATTGTTAATATTTAAAGAAGCAGTCGTGGCCGAGCGGTTAAGGCGTCTGACTAGAAATCAGATTCCCTCTGGGAGCGTAGGTTCGAATCCTACCGACTGCGTACATTTACTTACATTTTATATTATATTTATATTTATAATAATATAAAATTATTTAATAGAAATATTTAAAAATCATAATCGTGTTTTTATGATTCCAATGAAATTGATATACCAAACCCAAAATGATGATTGGAGTACCAATTTTTTTTTTTATATAAATATTAAAAAAAATACATTAAAATGCCAAAATAATCAATAACCCATTTCAATTTATGGTAAATATGAATATTAATAATTCATTTCCATCATTGGATAAAGAAAATTTAAATGAAACTCCATATTGAAATAAGAAGAAAATTAAATTGAAGCTTAAAATTAGGAGAATAAATATTGTATATAACATTAATATACCTATTTATTTTTCCTTATAATTCTTATGATTTATGTATGAACACAATAGTTGAATAAAAGCATGCATACAATACAAAAAAAATGTATTGTTTTATGCACATTGTTAATAACCGTTAGATTAAAATGTATTATTCGAATCCTTAGGTAACCAATACATACATAGTGTAAATTTTCATATTAATACATTACTACACCTATATTCGATTATTTTTAAATTAAATATAATGAAATACTTTTCTCACTGTTTCTAGGGTGAATCGATCAGATTTTATTATTTACAAAACATTGAGTAGTTATTGAAACGACCGCTTGGAATTTTAGTTTTATCTAATCTATATTCGTAATAGTTAAAATGTATTTTTTAAAAATAAATAAAAACATGGAGCTAAAAATGTATGTTGTTTAGCGTGTGTTATATACATGGTGAAAGGGACGAGTAAAAGAGGTGTAAATTCCAATAATTTGTAATATAATACATATTTAAAACTCTCCTAAAGAAAATAAATTCAAAATATATACTACTGTCTATTATAAAAGGTACACATTTTAAAAACCATCACTAATTGAGAAATTAATATTATGATAATTTTGAATTTGAATGAATTTCGAAAAATACATTTAAAAAAATGAATTATGCTATGTTAATAATACATTTATATTTTTATATTCATGTACATATTAGAAATGTTTTAACGTTTTTATACTTTTATTATAATTTTTCAAAATATGAACAAAAAAAAAAATGAAAAATGAACAGGAAAATAATATTTTAACACAATAGGTATTAATAAATGTAATTCAAAATGTAAGTGAATATATTATCAAAGGCAAACAAATAAACATCATTAAGTCATACATGTTTTTTTTTATAACCATATAACCTATTATTAATTAATAATGACGAACTAAATGAGACGTTTTTTGATAATTTTATTTCAATTGTTAACCATTCAATTTTCGTTTCTCAGCTGACTTGGTTTAATTGATGGGTCATTTATTTTATTTATTTGCAGAAATACAATACACCGATGGAAGGTCAGGGGTTGTATGTTGGTACATTGTTCATATGAAGGAATGAAACCAACGCCCAAACATGGTCTTAACATTGATCCGATAGCGCGCGAGCGCGACCCCCTGAACCTCTCCCGGTCGACACAAAGTGCATTGTGCGTGCCGATCGAGTTGTGTGTTCCGCATGCCGGTCATAGGGATTGGCTAAGGTAGGAAGTGAGGTGAAAATTCCGTAAATTTATACAACTTTGACGACAGGAAGAATTTTGGGTAGGTAAAAAGTGTGGTTTTCTTTAAGTTTAAACAACGATAAAATAATATATTCATCTGTTCTTACACGTATACTACGACAACTAAAAATATAAAATAAATGCAATGTCTTAGATTTCTGTGGTGTATATAAATTTTAAATTCCATAAATTGTTTTTATGTTTGTAATAAAATAATTTCACTTCATATCATCTAATCTTTAGTTACATAATCTAATCTTTAGGATACTCCATACAATTATCTAGCTACTCACTTGTTGACAACCCTTAGCAGACATTTTTTATACTAATTCTACTTTTACATTAGAACCAAGTTAAAAATAAAAACTAATGTATTATTTTATCATAATTATGTTTATACTATCGTGGTTATTTTTTTCAATTTACTCTTCCAATACGCCTTCAAAATAACATTAATTTAAAAAAAAATAATTTTCATCATACGTTATTCAACTTGTTCTACTACAAAAATACATGTCAACTCTATAATTTGTTGACGTCAAATAATATCTGACGTTATTCTCCACTCTTCCATTTAAGTCTCCAACGCCATTACATCGTCTACTATATGCTATACGAAAGTAGAGGTTCCATAAATGTCCCAATGGGAATTCATTTTTTATTAAATTTTACTTCGTAATAATTATTCATGATGAATATACGCAATATATTTCTTTCTATATAATAAAGATCTTGAAAACCCAAAAATTGACATCAAGAAAATTAAATAAGAAACAAAATTTAGGAATTATGGTATACAGGAGTATATATTATTTTAAATACTTAAGTACAATTCTAAAATAATTAAAATTTACAGTTAACTCAAGTATAACAAAATTATTAAACTTCAAATTAATACGTCACAAAAAATATTTTTACTGTACATAGGATAATTATTCATTTATCAAAATAGTAATAAAAACTACATAACATAGCATTTCAACGAATATAAATGTAATATTAATTAAAATACATAGAAAATAATATTCTGTATAATTAATTAATATTAAAAATATCAAAATTATTAATTTAATTAAGGATACATACCCTGTTGATGCAAAACATAAACATAAAATAAAATGACAAAGAATTTGGAACACACAAAATTCTAAATTAAATGAGATTAAAAGAGACATCTTCTGTTGGTTAAACCCAAATCTCAACCGGAAAGAGGAGACTATGCTTAACAGACTTCGCATTGGGCATACCAGATTCACCTGGTTTCCTGATAGCCAGAGAAAAGCCCCCTGTTTGTCAAACCTGTGGAACTTCGTTAACTGTCAAACACTTAATAGCCGACTGATTAAAGTACAACCAAGAAGGAACTCATCATAAAATATACAATCTGGACACTGCACTTGGACCCAATCATGGGAAAACCCGAAATATTATTAATTTGGCAAAAACAAGCAAAATTGTTAAACCTCAAATAAAAAAAAAAATATATGTAACCTAATTATATAACTTATTTTTGTGTTTAGTCACATAAACTCATATCCTGTTTGTAACTTATGGCCTTTGTTGTCGATGTTATTTTTTTGAGATCAATAAAAAAAAAAAAAAACATCAAATAAATACCTAAATCTTTTAAAAGATAATTTGATGAAATAAAAATAATAAAAATTAAATCAATAAAATATTGACTCATAAAAGTTAATGAAGGCAATAATACAATATAATATAAATCATATTATATCATGAAATCGGAAAACACTTCTAAGT